TTGTGTGTAAAATTAAGGAGACCATGGAGTGAGCTAACTTTATGACAATATTTTAAATTGTACTTCATGTGACGTACTTAAATTTACACAATTTATTGAAATTCTTGCTTGGGTAAGATTTGGGGTATGGAAAGAAAGTCAGTTAATTATTGTTCTTTTTGTTGGCCTTTAATGGCTATTTTAGAAGCCCAGGTCACATATATACAGCTCTACCTGAAACATAATCCAGAAAAAGCAAATACTGTAGTCGCCATTGTGAACGACAGCTCGGAAGGCATTTGTTAGCATTTGTAAACTTTACTTTCTAATTTATTGAGACATCTGGATAAATGAATACTACACTTATTAAAATCAGCCCATATAAGTCAGTAATCAGAGTAATTTCTTGTTCGATATATAAAAGCAATAAAAATACTAATTTAAAACAAAAGCTTTTGTTGGTGGACCATCCAATTTTAAATGTTTGAAAAACGAAAGCATATGTGATCTGCACATGACATAGAAGCCTGCAATAGAATTTGAAGGCTAAAAAGGTATTTTTTCTTGGGCACCAAATATTTTTTTTCCAATTAGTTTGCCAGGTCAAATAAAATTGTTGAACTGCAGGCTCCATACTTTTCACTGTAACAGATTGCTTAAATGTTAACTTGCATGATTGATGTGCTCTGCCAAATCAGGCAGCTTGAATCCTTGAAATTCAGCGTGTTTATGCCAGACTGCAGGCTGCTGTGTTGTGCCCTATTAACGCAGTACAGTTTTGTAAAGTACAGGAACTGGCTGCAGCAACAGAGATGGTGAGATACCACTCACAGATGAATACAATGACCAGCATAGGTTTTGCCAACGTTAGCAACCACTGATGGAGAAATTGCTGCAATTATCTTTTAATCGAACAAATCGCTATAAAATCTTTTGTTGGCTTTGCTTTGTTTCCTCATTTATTTCGGGAACATAATACCATGCTTGTGTTCGAGTACTTTATTTGACATTAATGTGCACGTAAAGAATATACACCAGCGGTTCCCGATTATATTCAGATGAGATACACTTTTGGATAGAATGTGTGCGGTCTGGACAAAATGGCTTCACCGTTCAGTTCTGGAATGCGATCTGCCATTTGCAACGCCTGATGTCACATGTCAACTGTTCTGTTCAACACCATACTAAATCTTCCTTCAGTCCACCAGTTATTTTGTCTCTCCATTGAGTTGTTTTTGACTGATTAATTTTACCTGACTTCTTTTCTTGTCAGTTATTCTTTTTTTTCTCTCTCTTGCCTGAAATTAATTTGCTATCTCTTGGAACTCATTTTCTCTCTCGCCATTAACTTTTTTTTCTCTCTCTCTCACTCTTGCTCTTTTTCTCACGCTTTCACCATTACCCTTTCTCTACTTGTCATTTGTGGTCAAGTTATTTGAAACTGGCTATGAAGTTGTTCCTTCTGGGAAGCGACCAATAATTGGAATAGGAGAAGGTCTTTGATGAGTCCATGGAATTTTTATTCTCAAACTATACAGCAAGAAAAAGCAGGAACACACGCATGTACAACCAGGACAATTTCTTACTCACTAGAATATTGATGAAGTTCTTTCATTCACTCCTGTCATATTTACATTACTTCTTTTAGCATTTGTGCCCTTTAGATGAGATGACAATTTGTTCCCTGGAATATTTGGAAGCATTTTTCGCATTACAGAAATTCAGCTAATTTGCCTGTAATTTCTTTGCCTGTAATTGGTTCATTACTTGCTCCTCCAATTTTTGTTGAATATATTTCATATTTATTCCTTGGGTACATGTACTCTACTGATATCTATTTTGAATGCACACTCCACTTTGCTAAGCCAGTCTGGAACCTTGGCATTTTGTTTGACCGTCAACTATCCTTTCTATCCCACATCTGTACCATGACTCCCTCTGCCTTCCCCCACCTCCGTAACATCGCCCGGCTCCACAACTGTCTCACACCACAGGGCCGAAACCCTCATACACGCATTCACAACACCGAGCTTTGACTATGCAAACTCCTTGCTTGGTCGGCTTCCCCAACTCCTCCCTACATAGGCTGCAGATCATTCAGGACTCCACCACCCGTGTTCTCTCCCACACCAGGCTCCGTGACCCTATCACCCCCATCCTCACCCGACTCCACTGTCTTCCCATCACACAGAGGATACAGTTCAAGATCCTGGTCTCACCTTCAAAGCCCTCCATGGCCTTCTCCGGCCTGCTTCACGTCCCCCGACCTGCCTGCCCTGCCATTGGTGGGTGGGCCTTCTGCCACTCTGCCCCCACCCTCTGGAACTCCATCCCATAGTCCCTCCGCCTCGCTCCCTTTCTTGCCTCCTTCAAGACCCATCTCAAGACCCTCCTCTTTGACCGTGCTTTCGATCACCCTGCTTCCCCCCCTGCCCTCCCCAATCCTGACCCCTAGCTCGGGTCTGAAACACTGACTGGCCAGCACCTTGGGACGTCCTCGACATGAAAGGCGCTATACAAATGTAATTTTGTGGTTGTTGTTGTTGCCAATATCTACTTGCTGCTGAAGCTAAAAAGCCTGGATCTACAATTTGTGAAAACGGAATGTTGAAAAAATGCAATGCAGGTCCCATTTCTTGATCTTCTACGATATAAATGCCTAATGTGTCCCTTAAAATAGAGGTTCCAATACATTACAATGTGACCAATTGCACATAAAATTGTGGCCAGTTGCGGTTGATGCAGCATCAGCAACAAAAATGATAGTTGCATAAAAGGTGGAAAATTCTGTCCATGTTTCGCTCAACCTACACGTGTGAGGCGACATTTTCGGCAATTGTTTCATGACGTTGAAGTACAGGTCCCAGTTGCTGGAGACCAGTTTGGAAGTAGAGCTGTGAAGTGCATTGTCTGATTGGTTTTCACTGAAAAATATGTCCCTACTTGTATTGTTTATAACTGCTTGCATTGTTTGTGTGTTATTGCTTGTATCGTATGTTGCTTGTATCACACTGGATTTTCATAGAATCATAGAATTATACAGCACAGAAGGAGGCCATTCAGCCGATCGTGCCTGTGCTGGGTCTTTGAGAACAGCTATGCAAATCAATCAATCAGCTTCCACCACCCTTTCTGGCAGTGCGTTCCAGATCCGAACAACTCGTTGTCTGCTGTTTGAATAAAATGTGGAAACAATAGGCTTACATAGATGGTTACTGCTGGATTGGTGACAGAAAAACTGGTTCAAAGTGGTTTTGAACTTGGAAAAACAGTATCGGGGCACGAATTTTGTATTGTGCGGTCAATCTGGTGCTTCATTGTTCACATTTGTGACCAGCCTCAAATCTGTATTGAACAATGCTACCTTAAAAGAGCTATCTGATCATTGACATGCTATCTATTGCGAACACATCTGAATATATTGTATGATAAAATTAAGTTCTTATCATTCATCATAGAGATTTGGGGTATAGAAACAGCTACAAGAATGAGATATGTGTTTTACTTTAATTGTCCTAGTATTATTTACAACGTTTAGTTTGTTCAACAACAACAACCTGCATTTTTATAGCGCCCCTCACGTTAGCGTCCCAGAGCAATTGACAGTGGCAGAGCACGACACTGAACCGGGAGAGGGGTCAGGTGACCGTAGGCACGGTCGAACAGGAAGGTCTTCAGGCACAATTTGAAGATGGGGAAAGGAGGGGGCAAGGTGGAGGGATAGAGGAAGAGTGTTCCAGAGTTTGGGGGCATAGTGGTTGAAAGTCCCAGCCGCCAATCCTGGAATGGAGGGCACAAGGGACAAGTAGGAGACCAGAGGCAGCAGGTAGTGGGTTGGGAAGTAAGCAGGTCATATACCATTTGTTGGTATGTTAGGTTGCAGATAAATGCACCAACTATATACTGTACAGCAGGTTTACAGAACATTATACACGCGTGACTGCATGTTGTGCTTGCTTTAACTCACTTGTAAGAAAATGGTTGCATATCCTATTATCCACTATAACGGGATGGATGATTGAAATTAACAAGATAATTGAAACTGCACTTCATACATTTACATTACGTCTATCTTCAGTACTGAATGAATCAAATGTGTCAAATTATATAAAAATACATCTTCAGATCATTAATACCTATTTGGAGGGATAGAAACCCTAGCAGGGTCTGAGCCCTAAGCAGGGGAATAGAGTTGGTTCAAGTTGCTGAGCAGAGATAAGTCAGGAAGCAGTGGACTTGAATTTGGGAGGGGAATTAAGATCAAATGATGGCTAGAAGTGAGAAAGACAGAATACTTTTATTTCTATATAATTTTGCAGGAAAATTATGGCAGATGATGGCAAAGGCGAATAATTGAGGTTCCACCGAGAGGAATTTATAAAGAAAGGTTTCAACAATCAAAGATTAGCTGGTCTGTCAGTAGCATTCTTCTAGTATGCTTGCCGATTTGTGCTTTGCAGTATTCCCCTACTATATGCTAGTGATTATTTAGGAATGTGGTGGTTAGCATCAATTCTGACCGTAACACATGGAAAGGGATACAATTTCAAGTGGGTCCAAACTGATTACTGTAGAACCTACTGTGTTTTGGAAAAAAAAGTTGGCAAAGAATCTATACAGTCATTTACATTAAAAGAAAGCATCTGCAACTGTTTTTCATGTTGAATGTTTTATGTGTCGAACTTGACAGGACACATGATTTATTGATGGAAATGGCTATGGATAAAGGCAATTCAGAAAAAAAATTGTACGAAGTTTTCAACTATTTTCACCTGCATTTTTGGTGATTGTCTGCCACAAAAAGAATGAGGACAAAGTCTCTGCTCCTTTTCTTGTTTAAGTTCAAGGCAACATCTTGCAAGAATTCTTTAGATTCTGTAACCTGATCTTATACAGCGCCAGTGTTCAAGGCTTCATTAATTTTGTTGTAAGTTTCACAAACAAAGATAGCTTTCTTCCAGAAGAAACAAAACACAAAATGAACGTGCATAATTGTTTCTGACTTTCTGTTTGCGTGCCAGGATGAAGATGAAGTGGATTCCTATACCATGGTGAAGACCAGCCCCGAGAGTACTGGGACCATGAGGGCAACCAGTACCATGAGTGAAGGTGCCCAAACTATGATTGAACACAATAGCACTATGTTGGAGTCCGACCTGGGCACCATGGTCATTAACAGCGATGACGACGAGGAGGATGGAACCATGAAAAGTAAGAGAAATGCATTTTTGGTCCGGCTTTAGTCTTTACTAAGGTAACCAGTTGGTTCAGATTTCAATAACACGTGTACAAAGGTGGGCATTATGTTTTTAAATTCCCAAATTGTTCCGACCTTTTGGGGGTGGGGGTGTTGCTTGTGTTTTTGCAGATAGACTGGAGACTCACCTTTGCACAGTTCAGTGTGAGCTTCCAGAGATGCTTTAAGTTCTGTGAAGTGCTGAAAGGTTGTAAGTCTCGCATCACAATATCCTTTTTCATCCACTCTGGAAAGAAACTGAAGTGCTGTTTCCTGCAATGTTTAATCACTTCCCAATGACGGTCCAAAGCCAATGGGTAATGTTAATTTATCCCCAATTGTGCTGATGTTGACGTCTGGGGACACATGAACCTGAATAGCAGTATGTAGAGAATGGGGATTATGTGCCAAAAGGAAAATATGTCTTTGTATTAATAATGAACTTACATTTTTAGAGCACATCTCAGTTAAAACCTCTCAGAGTGGTTCAAATGCTTACATTAAGTAACTGTTTTTGTAGGCACATGCAGCAGTCATTTGTGCCAGCAAGCATCACATGGCCAATTAATCTGGAGGATTTTTGACTAGAACAACAAGAAAAATTTGGTTCTCTTTTCAAATTGTGTCAATAATATCATGGGTCCTTTAACATCCACCTGAACAATCAGGTGAGAATGCTTCCAACCGAGTCAAGTTTAGTTAAGTTGTGAAATATTGCCAGACAACCTTCGCTTATAATAAAGGAGAAACTATCTGGATCTACCTGTGTGTTACAGCAATTTACTAAGCTGCTATATTTTTTCATGAAGAACTGTGCAATAAAACTCAAATTAAAGACATGGAAAACTACTAACAATGTCTATAGCCAACACCTAGTGATTGTCCAGTTTCAAATGTATATGAAGAATGTCAATTTGAAATGTTATTTTCAGAGACAGGTTTAATGCTTCTCATTATGCACCAATATTTGCAATAATTGTGGTTGAATTTGTTTATAAATTGAACTACAAAGTACTTTTCATAGACAATTAAGGAGAGCTATTAGACATTATCTTATAGATTAGCCCTGATATATGTAGCAATAATATTATGGCTGTGCCTAGCCAGTAATTTGATGAAAGCTATCCATTATCAAACAGAAACAACTTGCACTTATATAGCGCTGTCCACGCCTCAGAGTGCCTCAGAACGCTTAACAGTGGTGGAGTCTGACTCCGGGCTGGGCGGAGGGAGGAGGTGACCATAAGCATGTAAAAAAGGTTTTCAGGCAGGACTTGAAAAAGGGGAGAGAGGGGGCAAGGTGGAGGATTGAGGGAGTGTTCCCCAGTTTTGGAGCACAGTGGCTGAAAGTGCGACTGCCAATGATGGAGTGAATGGTGGAAGGGACAAGTAGGAGGCCGGTGCCAGTCAAGCGGAGGCGCCGGGTGGTGGATTGGGGAGTGAGGAGGCCGGAGAGGTGGGGAGGTGGCATGGAGTGAAGGGATTTGAACACGATTGTGAGGATCTTGAAGCCGATCCGTTCGGTGATGGGGAGCCAGTAGAGCCTGAGCCAGAACTGATGAGGTGCGGGTACGGAGTTTGGTCCGGGTCAGTATGTGGGCGACAGAGTTCTGAATGAGCCGGATCTTTTGGATAGTGGAGCTGGGGAGACTGGCGAGGAGTGCGTTGGAGTATTCGAAACGGGAGGTGACAAACGCATGCACAAGGGTTTTGGCTGCATTTGGGGTAAGGTACGGTCAGAGACGGGGAATGCGGGGGTAGGAGGAAGGCGGTCCTGGTCAGGGAATGGATGTGGGGGAGGAAGGACAACTGGAGGTCGAACCAGACACCTAGATTGTGCACTGGTTCGTTGAGTCTGTGGTAGAGCCCAGGGAGGTTGAGAAGTTCAGATCCGCAGGAGTGTGGCTTCCGTCTTGTCCACATTCAGCTGCAGGAAGTTTACATTCATTCAGCCCCTGATGTCTGTGAGACAAGCTGATAGAACATCAGCAGACATGGAGTCGATGCTGGAGGAGGCAAAGTAGATTTGTGTGTCATCCGTATACATGTGGAAGTTTAACCCATGTCTGCAGATGACATCGCCCAGAGGGAGGATATACATGAGGAAAAGAAGAGGGCCAAGGATGGAGCCCTGGAGTACCCCGCAGGTGACCAGGTGGGGGCGGGAGGAGAAATTATTTGCTGAGATGAAATAGAGGTGGTTGGTTAAGTAGGACTCGAACCATGCGACTGCGGTCCCACTAAGATGGATGAGGAAGGAGAGGCAGTGGAGGAGGATGGCATGGTTGACTGGGTCAAATCTGGCAGAGAGATCCAGGAGGACGAGGAGGCAGAGAGAGCCCTGGTCACAGAGAGAGAGGACGTTGTGTGTGACTTTGACAAGCGCTATCTGTGCTGTGGGCAGTCAGGGCAAAAACTAGACTGCAGCAGCTCGAGGAGGGAGTGGATGGAGAGGTGTGACTGAAGTTGACCTGCAACAATGCGTTCCAGTACTTTAGCAAGGAAGGGTAGGTTGGAAATGGGACGATAGTGTGAGAAGTTAGAGGGATCGAGGGTGGTTTTTTTTAAGAAGGGGTGTGATAACAGCGGTTTTCAAGGCGAGTGGAACAGAGCCTGATGAGAGAGACTGATTGATCGTGTCGGCCAGCAGTGGGGGAGAGGAGGGGGAGTTGAGTGACCAGCAGCTGGGTGGGGAGGGGGTCGAGGCAGCGGGTGGTGAACTTCTTGTGGGTTGAGAGGGAGGAGGGAGTAATGAGGGCAAAGGAGTGTAAGAACTGGGGAGTGTCAGGAGCCGTGGCAGAGGCAGAAGGCAGTGTGGATGGTCTGGGTGGAGTGGAAGGGGACATGGGATGGGGTGGAGGATGATACAGCCAAGTGGATGTTTTCAATCTTTGAGGCAAAGAAGTCTTAAGACATATTCGCGCTTGGCGTTTCATGTGAGGATAGAGGGGGTTTGAGGGGGTGCACGGAAGAGGCGATGGACGGTGAAAAACAAAGTCTTTGAGTTGTTTTTGGCCTCCAGGATGACTTTGAAGTAAAAAGTCCAATGAACCGGCTGTAAAGTGTTGTTGTATTGAGTGTACAAGCTTTGGGTTTGGCTGCTGGTCTTATTCCAAATTCAGCGTTCTGCTCATAGACAGCAGTTTGAGTTTGTCCTAATGCTTTTGATTAATGTTGATGCACCATGTTTCAATGCCATCCGGTTATGGGCCATTGGTATTACAAACAGTACTTCCAAGTAAAAATAAATTGCATTTTTATACAATTAATGATTCAAGTGATAAAAAAACCTTGCGTTTGATTTTGCTCCTTATCATGTCTTTGAAGGATCTCAAAGAGCTTCACAGGATTTACTGTAAATTGTAGCATAATGTGTATTTATAGGCCAGTAGGGCAGCCCATTTCATTTGCAGATAGAAATGACATGCACTTGAACTCACAGCCATCTGACCCAAAGTCAACTGTTCGACTACTCAATACTGCTCATAATTTTCAGACAAAGTCAGCCATATTGGATCCTTTTTGTCCGATGGAGGTGGAGTCCTGTAACTCAGTAATTAGAGCACTCGCCTCTCAAGCGAGAGACCTGGGTTTGATTCCCGGCAGGGCGAAACCTTGTGCAAGTTTCCTTACTCCACACGCCTGATAATAATCCCTCAAAAAAAACAATAATAAATTGGTTACTTCAATCCACGACTGTTTGTGGGGACACTGCTGTGCGCGATTGGCTGCCGCATTTCGCCCACAAATATACAGTCAATTCACTTTACAGTACATTCTGTAAAGTGCTTTGAGACGTCTCAAAGACATGAAAAGCGCGATATCAAATGCAAGGATTATTATTATTATTATTATTATCCTATTGTGGTACTTGACAATGTGGGCATTTTCAGCAAATGTATTTACTTTCTGCCCAGTTGTACAAATATTCCGCAGTTGAGCTCCTGTTCCACTAGGTGGCTATAAACCATCAGGAGGCGTGGACTGATTATTGTCTTTCCACACTAAGTTCAAATGAAGAGAGCCTTTAGCCCATCTCATCCTTGTTCCAGTTCCTCTCCTTTTAAACCTGTAAACTCTTGTGTCATATTTACTGGGACCCAGTACCTTCTACTGGGTCCGGCCTCCTCCGTGTCCCCCGAATCCTCCGTCCCCCCATCAAGGCCATGCCTTCAGCCACTACACCCTGAAACTTTGTAACTCCCTCCCTCAACCCCTTCGGCTCGCCCCCTCCTTCCCCATTTTCAGGTCGAGCCTGAAGACCTTCCTCTTCGACCGCACCTATTGTCACCTTCACCCTCCCCCTGGGTTGGCCTCGGGCTCCACCATTGTTAAGTACTCTGAGATGCCGCCTGGCGTGGAGGGCGCGATATAAATGCAATATATACTTAATTGTATATATAGTCCAGTGGAGAGGATATTACATGCTATAAAAGTACTAATCACAGTTTCTTGAATGACAGACAGTACGTCCTTTTTCTTTGTTAGAATGTTCAACAATATGTAGGATATATTTTTGCTAAACCTGGACTGTAAAGCAAGATAATTATATGTCCTGATGTTTGAGGAACGGGAATACAATACAAGATCATATAAAACCGTGTCTCGAGGACTTGCATCACCAGCATTTCATTTATCCTTGTTTCCTGCCTCAAACATTTTGCAGTGCCAACTATCTAGTGTAATGAAGAGTAAATGTTTCCAGGTAGTATTTCTTGCTCTTTTTCTAAATACTGCTCTTAAGGCTGACAATATCAGAATTGCCTGTTTGAATTATTAACTCATAACTCGCGTAAGCCACCTATTGCCTTGCATTATTCAGTTTTCTCACACGTCTACGTTACAGATAGTATAAATGATAAATAGCTTAATGAAAGCTGTGCTGGGGTCCTTCTAAATATTATAGTTGCCCAACCATAGGACCCGATCAATTGTGCATTGGGGTACTGCTGGAGTTTAACAAGGTAAAGAGTTA